TTTCACGTCGAGAGGACGGCCCAAGGCACTGGACAGTCAGCGGTTTGGATCCGAGCTGGGAGGTGGGTTGGGATCAGGGCGGGTGGAGGGCAGGGAGGGTGGAGGTAGGAGGGTCAAAGAGGAGTATCTTGAGATGAGTCTTGAAGGAGGCAAGGGAGGGGGCGAGGCGGAGGGACTGCGGGATGGCATTCCACAGGGTGGGGACAGAGTGGCAGAAGGCCCGCCCGGCAATGGTGGGGCTGGAGAGGCAGGGACGTGAAGCAGGTCGAAGCCCATTGAGCGGAGGGAGCGGGCAGGTTGGTAGGGGGTTAGGAGGTCGCAGAGGTAGCAGTGAGCAAAATATACGTGTATCCTCCCTCAATCATCACTCCCATCAATCACTCCCAAAATGCTCTCCATCAATGAGTGCTTCAAGTATTTGGAAGTGGTATCAGAGAATTCACGAGGCTGTTTCCTGGAGTGAGGAAATGCTTTGGAAAGGCTTGACGCGGAGTTCCGAAGGCTCACAGGGGTTAGGACAGAGGTAGCTGAGTCCTGCAGCATAGTAGTTAGCTTGCACGCCTTGCGAGGGTTCGATTTTTGGGCTGGGAGAAACCTTTGGGCAAGTTTCTTTACTCCACACAGCTCTGTTTACCTAGCACTAGATAGGAACTCAGTTGTTAGTCGAATGGCGGATTCCTCCCCGGGGGTAAATAATTCCTCCCCCCAAAAAATGTGATCACTCAATTCACGGCTGTTTGTGGGGTCGCTGCTGTGCACAATTGGCTGCTGAGTTTCGCCCACAATTTATACAGTCAATTCACTTTGCAGTATATTCGGTGAAACGCTTTGAAACGTCTCAAAGACGTGATAAGGTGCTATATTAAATGTAAGGATTATTACTTTTTATCATTAAGGATTATTATTACAAAACAGGGCTTGAACCCCTGGCCGAGCCGGAGGCAAGAGGGCCCGACCGAGCCCAGCTGTTCACTCAGCAACGAGTGAGCCTCGCTCGTAGCCTTGCCCGAGTTGGAAGGGTTAATTATAGGCTAATGGTGGAGGAACGGGATGTTCTGTAAGACTAGCAGTTCAGCGAAGACAAAGGCTGGGAGGGGCACGATTACACAACCTCTATACCTCTATCCTTTTTGCCTGGGGGATGTTTGTTGAAACACGAAGCTAGGCAGTTCTCAACACATCGCCTCTCCGGCAGCAATAAGGAGCCCTGGGCCCTGAAATTCCACTCAGTCTTGAAGTACCCAGAACAGCGGTGAATTGTAGGAAACTCTAGAACACAGTCTTAAATTGGAGGCCATTTCCCTTCCTTGCTCCTCTGACCCCCGCCCCCCCCCCCCCCCACACACACACCGTTTCCCCCTTACGTTAAGCTACCTTATATTTTTTGGACCTCAATGCATTGCATTTGATTTATTTTTGCTCTTTGTCACAACAAACTCCCAGGTCTAATCTAGTTCACAACTAAGTTCATTCAACTCACATTTCGTAACCCATTCTGACGTCTCAAAGCACTTCAAACAGGATGTGCTGTAAAGTGGACTGATTGTATTTTATTTGTGGGCAAAACGCGGCAGCCAGTTTGCGCACAGCAATATCCCACAAATTGCCATGGAGGGAGTGACAAATTTTATGTGGGGCATTGGTGGCCAGGATACCAAGAGAGAGAAACTCCCTTCTGTTTACAAATGCAGTAGTGCCACAGGATCTTTAACATCCACCTGAACAGGCAGACGATAACCAACATATCATCCAAAGGACGGCACCTCCGACCATGCAACCCCCACCCCTGCCACCCCCCAGCACTACATTGGAGTGTCAGCTTAGACTATGGGATTCCAAGTCCCGAGGTAGGACTTGTACTCACACCCTCCTGACTTAGAGGTGAGAGTTCTCCCCTGCGCCAGACTGACACACTGGATAATGTATACATAATACAAAATTACATTCGTATAGTGCCTTGCACGTCGGGAGGACGTCCCAAGGCGCTGGACAGTCAGGGATTTGGACTTTTTGGACCCGAGATGGAGGGTGGCTCGGAGGCTCGGTCGAAGAGGAGGGTTTTGAGACGCGCCTAGAAGGAAGCAAGGGGGGGAGGCGAAGGGAACGTGGGATGGAGTTCCACAGGGTGGGGTCAGAAAGGCTGAAGGCCAGCCGGGAGACGTGGAGCAGGCCAAAGCCCGCTGAGCGGAGGGAACGGACAGGTCGATGTTATAAGTAGATACCTGCAACTTACCAGATTTGGGTGTTATATAAACGCAGGTTGTTATTGTTGTTGTCCCGAGGGTCACTCTCCTCGGACTCTCGTCTTTAAAAGCAGGGGCTTCAGGTGAATTGGCAGAGCGGTGGAGGGAACCTAACTTGAAATGAAATCCTCCGCTCATAACTAACGACGCGTCACAAAGTCTCTCCAGTGACAGTCAATACAATATCACATTTGTATAGTACCTTTCATGTCGGGAGGACGCCCCAAGATCCTGGACAATCAAGTGGGGATTGGGATCCGAGGAGTGGAGGGCAGGGAGGGTGACTGAAGGCACGGTCAAACAGAAGGGTCTTGAGACGTGCCTTGAAGGAGGCAAGGGAGGGAGGGAGGTGAAGGTGAATGTGGGATGGAGTTCCAAAGGGAGAGGGCAGAGAGGCTGAAGGCCCGACAGTCGATGGTGGCGTGGGCCAGGCAGGGGACATGGAGCAGGCCGGAGAGGAGGGAGCAGACAGACAGGTTGATATGGGGTTAGCAGGTCAGAGGTAGGAAGGAGCAAGTTCAAGGTGGGCCTTGAAGACAAGGACAACGATTTTGAACTCTATCCTCTGGGAGATGTAGAACCAGTGGAGCCAGGCGAGGGTGGGGGTGATAGGGTCAAGAGTGGCGAGTGTATCTACTGTTCCCCCTCCGCAATGACTTGCGTTCCGTCGACCACTTTCACCTTCGTGTGTCAGCCTGACTTGATTATGAGACTGTACGCGTTCAATGTCCAAACCTGGGGCTTCAACCCACACAACCTTCTGACTGAAGAGCCAAAAGTACTGGTGAATGTGCCAGGCCGAATTTCCAGCAATCGTGGCAACCAAACGTCTGAACTTTCCACCCATCCCCCAAAGTTTTTTTGGGGGGGGGGTCAGCCTGATACATGCGGAAACCCATCACCGTGTTCCTAAGCCTCCCATCTGCACATGGAAATTTCTGATAGCTTGTTGGAATGGAATGCGCACTCTCTCCCTGGAGGGCGGCGTCCTATTTACCCCAATTCTGGAAAGTATCGGGTGCAGATTGTCAAGAGTCAAGGTTTGGGGAGCCCAGCGTGTGCGTTGGGGTAACTGCTGGGAGGCTAACCAGCCGAACCCGCATAGCTTGCCATTGATATCGCCGTGTGGTAAGCTTTCCCGTTGCTTGTTCACTTAGGACCACCCCCATCCCGTGGCTTGCAGGGTTAACAGGAGTTGAGTGGAATGATTCCCAGCTCCCAGCGACTGGTCTGCCTTTCAAAGTCGTGCCGATGAGCCGGTTAGATTTCAGAACAACAACAACAACAAAATTGCATTTGTACAGCGTCTTTCACGTCGGGAGGACGTCCCAAGAAGAATAAGACCGCACACAGGGACTAGATCTGTAACCAACGCCTTTATTAGTCGTTTTCTTTTTTTTTTTTGGTTTTCGGAGACAATGTTAGTCGCAAAGAGAAGGATAAATCGGCGAGCTTTTACTGTTTTAATACACGGGTAACATTACAAAGCCAGCACTCCTGACATGTACTAAAGCGTACACAAGTTAAATCCAAATAATCACATAGCAATTACTGAGAAGGTAAGAGAGCAGCCTTACCACCAAGTGGGACAGACACTCTGCACACACAAAAAAATGCTGAACATAATGACCAATGGGTAAAACCCACTAAAATTACTATTTACATTTTAACACGTGACCCCGCAGCCCTCGCCCGCACACCAAGCAAATCCTCCCAACACCGTGGAAAAACTTGGGAAGCCGCTCGATGCTTGGAATACAGCTGGAGCGTCGCGAAAAAGGGGGCCGCGGGGTCCAGGAAACAATCCTCAGCGAACAATCGGAGGTTCCTTTTTTTCTTTAAAAAATAAAGTGGGTCTCTATTATAATATAAAAATTACATTGCAAAATCAGCACTGGAACATGGGGGAGGAAGGGGATCAATCAACCTGCAAAAATAGGAGGCAGCACATGCACTGTTGTCGTCCCCCACAGAAGGTTTTGTACTTTAGTGTCCTTGTGGGAATGGGGTATAGCTCTTCACACGGGGGGGGGGGGGGGGGTTGGGGTTGTGTGTGTGTGGGTTGTGTGTGGGGGGTGTGTGTGGGGGGGGTGTGTGTGTGGGGGGGGGTGGGTTGTGTGTGTGCGTGGGGGGGGGTGTGTGTTGGGGTTGTGTGTGTGTGTTGGGGGGGTGCGTTTGGGGTTGTGTGTGTGGAGGGGTGTTGGAGGGGGTTGTGTGTGTGGGGGGGGGTTGTGTGTGTGTGTGGGGGGGGGGGGTGGGTGCGTTTGGGGTTGTGTGGTGGGGGGTTGTGTGTGTTGGGGTTGTGTGTGTGGGGGGGGGGGGGTTGTGTGTGTGTGTTGTATGTGTGTGTGTGTGGGGGGGGGTTGTGTGTGTGTGGGGGGGGGGGTTGTGTGTTGTGTGTGGGGGGGGGTTGTGTGTGTGTTGTATGTGTGGGGGGGGTTGTGTGTTGTGTGTGGGGGGGGGGTTGTGTGTGTGTTGTATGTGTGGGGGGGGGGGTTGTGTGTTGTGTGTGTGGGGGGGGGTTGTGTGTGTGTTGTATGTGTGTGGGGGGGTTGTGTGTGTGTGGGGGGGGGGGGGTTGTGTGTGTGTGTGTGTGGGGGGGGGTATGTGTGTGGGTATGTGTGTATGTGTGTGTGTGGGGGGGGTTGTGTGTGTGTGTGTGTGAGTGTATGTGTGTGTGGGGGGGGGGGATGGCGTTGGGGTTGTGTACGAGACACACCAGCACCGAAGCCCCCGCCCGCCCGCCCCGCCCGCCGCTGCAAAGCCCGGCCCGGTCAGGACTCACCGGCCACCGCCAGCCTCTCCCCGTGGTGCCGGAGCAGGGCCTCCACCACCAGGCTGTTCCCGGTCTGACGGGCCAGGTCGAGCGGTGTGGCCGGGCGGCCGGGGCCGGGGCGGCCGGGCCGGGATGCCCGGGGTCGGCGCCGTGCCTCAGCAGCAGCTGAACGGTCCGCAAGTGGCCTCCGGCGGCTGCCAGGTGAAGCGGGGTCAGGCCGTCCCGGTCGGGGAGGTCCGGGGTCGGGCTCGGGGCTTGACCCCGGCCCCCGGCTTCACTCTCGGCCTCCTCCCGCTCCCTCTCCTCATCCTCCTCCACCTCCACCCCAGGCCCAGGCCCAGGCCCCGGGCTCGGGCTCGGGCGCGGCGGCCTCAGCAGCAGCAGCAGCAGCTCCCTGGCCGCCTCGCTGTGACCCCCCTCGGCCGCCAGGTGCAGGGCGGTCCGGCCGGCGGGGGTCACGGCCTCCGGCTCGGCCCCTTCCTCGGCCAGCATCCGGACCGTGGCCGCGTGGCCGGCCGCCGCCGCCAGGTGCAGGGCGGTCCGGCCCTCGGCCTCCCGGCTGCCCAGCCGGGCCCCGTGCTTGATCAGCAGCCGCGAGGTGCTGGTGTGGCCGGCCTCGGCCGCCAGGTGCAGCGGGCAGCGCCGGGCCCGCCGGCAGCTCGCGTTCACGCCGGCCGCCGACTTGCCCGCCTCCAGCAGGGCCCGAGCCGCCCGGTACTGGCCCCGGCGGGCGGCCAGGTGCAAGGGGGTCAGGCCGTCGGCGGTCAGGGCCGACACGGCCGGCTGGCCCGAGCGGCAGCCCCCGGCTCCGGCCCCGGCCCCGGCCTGCTTGACCAGCAGCTTGGTGATGGCCTGGTTGCCCTGCCAGGCCGCGTAGTGCAGCGGCGTCCAGTCGTCCCGGCCCCGGGCCCGCGGGCTGGCCCCCCGGCTCAGCAGCACCCGCACCGCGCTCTCCCGGCTGTGCTGGCAGGCCAGGTGCAGGGCCGTGCGGCCCTCGCAGTCGGCCCGGCCCGGCGAGGCCTCGCGGTCGAGCAGCAGCCGGAGCAGGCTCTCGTCGCCGCTCCGGGCCGCCAGGTGCAGCGGGGTCCAGCGGTCCTCGTCGCCCGCGTTGACCTGGGCCTTCTTGCCCAGCAGCAGCTCGGCGATGGCCCGCCGCCCGGCCCCCGAGGCCAGGTGCAGCGGGGTGGCCCCGCGCCGGTCGGCCGCGTTCGGGTCGGCGTTGTAGAGCAGCAGCAGCCGCACGGCCTCCTCGTTGGCCCCGCGCACGGCGCAGTGCAGCGGCCTCGAGCCGTCGTCGTCGTCCAGCACCAGCTCCACGTCCTGCGGCTGCAGCAGCTTCATCAGCCGCCCCGCGTCCCCCGAGGCCAGGGCCTCGCGCAGCTTCCTCCGGTGGGCGTCCGAGGCCGAGGGCTCTGTGGGTGGGGGGTGTGGTGTGTGTATGGGGGGGGGTGGGGGGGTGTATGTGGGTGTGTGTATGGGGGGGGTTAGAGAGGTGTATGGGGGTGGGGAGGGTGTATTGTGTGTGGGGGGGGGGGAGAGGTGTATGGTGGGGGGTGGGAGGGTGTATGGTGTGGGGGGGAGAGGTGTATGGTGTGGGGGGGGGAGAGGTGTATGGTGTGGGGGGTGGGGAGAGGTGTGTGTGTGTGGGGGGAGGGGAGAGGTGTGTGTGTGGGGGGGGGGGGTGGGGAGAGGTGTGGGGGGGTGGGGAGAGGTGTGGGGGGGTGGGGAGAGGTGTATGGTGTGGGGTGGGGGAGGTGTATGGTGTGTGGGGTGTGGGGGCGGTGTATGGTGTGTGGGGGGGGGGGGAGAGGTGTATGGTGTGTGGGGGGTGGGGAGAGGTGTATGGTGTGTGGGGGGGTGGGGAGAGAGGTGTATGGTGTGTGTGGGGGGGGGTGGGGAGGGTAGAGAGGTGTATGGTGTGTGTGTGTATATGGGGGGGTGGTTAGTGGTGTGTGTGTATGGGGGGTTGTGTGTGTGTGGGGTGGGTGGGTGGTGGTGGTGTGTATGTGGGGGGGGTGTTGTTGGGGTGTGGGTGGTGTTGTATGGGATTGATGTGTGGTTGGTGTGTGTGTTTGTGTATGGGTGTGTGTGTGTGGTGGGGGGGTTGGGTGGGTGGTGGTGGTGTGTATGTGGGGGGGTCGTGGGCGGTGTGTGTATGGGGGGGATGTGTGGGTTGGTGTGTGTGTATGGGTGTGTGTGGGGGGGGGGAGGGTGTATGGTGTGTGTGGGGGGGGGGGGAGGGTAGAGAGTTGTATGGTGTGTGTGTGGGGGGTGGTTAGTGGTGGTGTATGGGGGGTGTGTGGGGGGTGTGGTGAGGGGTGTGTGTGGGGGGGGGTGGTGGGGTGTATGTGGGGGGGGTGTTGGGTGTGGGTGGTGTGTGTATGGATGATGTGTGGTGGTGTGGTTTGTGTATGGGTGTGTGTGTGTGGGGGGGGGGGGGGTGGTGGTGTGGTGTGTATGGGGGGTCGTGGGCGGTGTGTGGGGGGATGTGGGGTGTGTGTATGGGTGTGGTGGGGGGGGGAGGGTGTATGGTGTGTGTGGGGGGGTGGGAGGTAGAGAGGTGTATGGTGTGTGTGTGTATGGGGGGTGGTTAGTGGTGTGTGTGTATGGGGGGTTGTGTGTGGGGGGTGTGTGTGAGGGTGTGTGTGTTGTGGTGGTGTGTATGTGGGGGGTGTTGTTGGGGTGTGGGTGGTGTTGTATGGATTGATGTGTGGTTGTGTGTGTTTGTGTATGGGTGTGTGTGTGTGTGTGGTGGGGGGTGGGTGGGTGGTGGTGTGTATGTGGGGGGGTCGTGGGCGGTGTGTGTATGGGGGGGATGTGTGGTTGGTGTGTGTGTATGGGTGTGTGTGGGGGAGGGGGAGGGTGTATGGTGTGTGGGGGGGGTGGTGTGAGTTGGTGTGTATGTGTGTGTGTGGTGGGGAGGGGAGGGGAGAGAAAATGAGACCAAAGTATTATTAATAATAATAATATTAATAATTATTATCATCGCCCGGGGTTGGGGGGGGGGGGGGCTACGAAACGCGGCAGTCCACAACAGCCATGGAGTGAGTGACCTGTATTATTTATTTTGGTGGGGGGGGGGGTGTGGGGGGGCTGGTGGTTGGCCAAATTCTTGTCCCCGATACCATCACGGGGATCTTTTAACGTCCACCCCGAACAGGCGGAGGGGATCTTGGTTTAAGGTCTCCTCCGCCGAGAACGGCATCTCCAACAACGTAACCCCCCACCCCCACCCGTGCCCACCCCACCCCCAGCGCTGCACTGGAGAGGCAGCTTAGACCGTGCGATTCCAAGTCACGGGGGTGGGTGGGGGGGGGGGGGGACGGACGGAGGGGGGAGGCTTGAACCCACAACCTTCCTACTCGGAGGCAAGAGCGATCGCTGCCCACTGTGCCAGGATGACCCAACAGTTAATTAAAGCGGGTACCATCCCGGAGCCCCGTGCAGGTCAGTATCGCCCACAGGAGTGAGGTGGGACGATACCCAACCCTTATCGGGGAGCCTTGGTCGAGCGTCTCTATCTCTCTCTCTCTCTCCCTCCCTCCCTCCGACACGCGAACACACCCACCCCCACCAACAACAATGCCGCACCCCTCCCAGCACCGCGTCGGGGTTTCGGCCCACGTGATTCCCAAGTGCCCGATATGGGGCTCGAGAGGCCAAAGGCCCTTACGCCAGTGTAAACCACGTCGTATTGCTACGGAGCCCACCCCTCAACATCAGCCTCAGGCAGCCTGGCTCTCGGAGGCTCGAGGGCCGGAGGGGATTTGGAATTCATAGTCTACCGCTGATGCTCCAATGGGGTGTTTGGGGTGGGGGGGTGGGGGGAGAGCGGTGAACTGTCCCTTCTGTTCGGGTGGACGTTAAAGGTTCTGGCGCACTGTTCGAAAAAGCAGCCTATCTTTTTCTCTTTCCCCCAGACATAAAGAAAACACGCGAGACGCATTTCTCCTTCCCAGACTTGGGCCGTGGCCGAAATTCCTGCTTCAAGTTTTAGCAGAGTAACATGCGCACAATTCGCATATCATTCGGTTTCACATGACGTACGCGAAGTCCCAAGTTGCGGGCGCACTGTATAAGTCATAGAAAATCCGATTTAGCCAGTAACCATGCGTAATTCGATGCAGCCGGTAAGTGTGGGAGTAACGGAGGGCAGGGGAGTGGCGATACGAGTTAGGAGGTGATTAATACAAGAGGCGCAATCCGAATGGGAATCGGGTGGACGTACGACTTGCGCGCCATTGTATGATCGTAAGGCTTATGCGGGTTTTACTGAAGTTGGATTCAGTGTGACCGGTCTCGGACCTTACCAATCACTGAAGCTTCCTTCCCGAAAGACAGCGAGATGGATCCTTGTGACGAGAAGGCCGAATCGATGGACGAAATTCCCGACAATCTCTTCTTGCTGTCCGCCATCGGCCCGGCCGCCGGGCATTCGTCCTCTGCCGACTCAAAATCCTGCGAAATTCCCGAGTCCAGCTGGGACAGGAGCTGGGAGAGGCTGTACTGCTTACTGTCCGAGACCACGTCCGACTGACATTTCTCCTTCAGCTGCTCTGGCTGGACCTGCGGTTCCTACAGCAAGAGAGAAAGAGAGGGAGACATGGGGGTCACTCATAACAATAATTATCCTTGCATTTGATATAGCGTACAGCGCCTTATCATGTCGTTGAGACGTCACAAAGTGCTTCACAGAATATACTGTGAAGTGGATTGACTGTACAGTAGTTTGTGGGCGAAACGCGGCAGCCAGTTGCGCACAGCGGTGTCCCACAAGCAGTCAACGACAACAACTTGCATTTATATAGCACCCTCGTTTAGGGTGGTGACCCAGAGCACTCGATGGTGTCAGTCATGAGTTGAGCGACCAAATCAATATAATTCTTTATTCATTTGTTTTGAAGGGATTGTTAGCCACCGAGAGCAATCCGCCAACAGAGTAACGACGGAGTTCCTACTTACCGCTAGGTAAACAGAGGCTTGTTGAGTAAGGAAACTTGCCTAAGGTTTTGCCCTACTTGGGAATCGAACTTGGGTTCCTCTCGCTTGTGAGGCGAGCGCTCCAACCACTACGCTATAAGACTCCATCGCACAGCAATGCCCATGGAGTTAATTAACAATTTTATTAGGGAGATTGTCAGCCAGGACACCGGGAGAGAGAAACTCTCTTTTCGAATAGCTCTGCGGGATCTTTAACATCCACCTGAACGGGCAGATACGTCCTTGGTTTAACGTCTCAACACTGAGCCAGACTGACCTGCAGTAAATTCACCTGTTGAGTTTACGTGCGTTTAACGGGACAGACAAAAGGAATGGCCTCATTGGGCCAAATGACCATTTAGCGCACTGCAGTTGAGTGCATGGTGACTGGCACGGGAGTCATGCAGGTGACGTTTCAGAAACAGCAATTTATGGCTTGCAAGTCAGACGGTCAAATTAGCCTCCTGATAAACCGTATAAATATTACTGTTTTGTCACTAGTCTGTACGAGCGTCTGAGTGAATCAGCATCACCTGTATCCGGTGGGATTGCACAATGTGTGTACTTTGCAGAACGAGCATACTTACACTATCTGCAAAGCAATAATCACTTACTGGTGGTTAGAATTTAATAATAATAATAATAATAGCACCATATCACGTCTTTGAGACGTAACCAGAGCGCTTCACTGTTAAGTGCAGTGACGGTGTACTTTGTGGGTGAAATGTGGCAGCCACTTTTGCGCACAGCAACGTCCCACAAGCAGTCATGGAATGAGTGATCAAGTTTATCTGGAGGATTGTTGGCCAGGACATTGGGAGAAAGAACCTCCTTTGGGTGTGTGGGTGGAGCGGGCAGGAGAGTGAGATTAGATCAACCGTAGAAAAACACAGCACAGACCCGGTGGGTCTTTTTAATGACGCATTGCTGTGCTCTGATAACTTATAATTTATGGTTCCACAAACACTCGTAAAAAAAGTACAAACCGATCCAATTTTAAACTAATTCAGGTCCCAGTGTTTGCCAAGGGTTGGGAAGCCTCGAGGATACGAATACCCAATTCTGAACTGAGACTCCTGAAACTCAATGTTGGCCATCAAACCGAGGGTCCCGTCTCCCTGTTCGGGTGGACGTTGAAAGATCTCACAGCGCTATTCAAAAAGAGAAGGCAGTTTTTCTCTCCCGGTGCCCTGACCAACGATCCCCAATAAAATCGGTCACTCGCTCCATGGCTGTTTGTGGGACACTGCTGTGCTGCCGCATTTGCTTACAAATAAATCAGTCACTTTGCTTCACAGTATATCACGTGAGACACTTTGAGACGTCCTTCCAAAGTGGTAAGGCGCTGCACCAAATGCAAGATTATTATATCATTATATCCATTCAATCCCTTTGCCCGATCCTCGTAGCAACCTTTATGCCTCTATTCTTTATTTGAGACATCTTGAAGACGTGATAAGGCGCTATATCAAATGTAAGGATTATTATTAAATACCTGTCTTCTTCCCTCTTGAAGCTCACAACGGACTCTGCCGCCACAACCTTACTTCCCTTTCCTACCCTTCATTGAATTCACGATCGCTTCAGGGATTTACCTTGATGTTTGCTTCCTGGGTTTGGCTGGTATCCACTGCCTGCTCAGCCTTCTCTTGAGGCATCTCTTGGGGTTTGGTGCTAAGTTCTTCTGTTTCCGAAGTGATATCTTTCAAAAGAAAACAAAATGCATCGCGCGGTTAGGCTTTAGAGGCTGCGCCAACCTACGGCAGGGAAGCTCAAACACCTTAAAATTTCGCGGACGTTTGCAGTCTACCACGCCATACAAATTATCCTGATGCATTCTCCTACACGATACAATGGCTGGAGTTGACAAGTTAAAAATAAAGCTGGACAGTCGAGGGTTTGCATCCAAGCTGCGGACTGGAGACAAGAGAGATGGCGGGCGTGGGGGTGGGAGTGGGGGGTAGGAAGATGACCAAAGGCACGGTTGAAGAAGAAGGTCTCGAGACGTGCCTTGAAGGCAAGGGAGGAGTGAGGTGGAGGGCTTCCGGAAGAGAGCTCCAGAGGGTGGGGGTAGAAAGGCTGAATGATATCAGCGACTGTCCCATAAATAAACAACCGTGAGGAGAGCAGTCAAATAATTAGAAATTTATTTTGGGGTGAAATTGAGAGGAATATTGGCCGACACTTAAAATTGATTAGGAATAACAATAATCCTAATAAACAATAAATAATATTTGATATAGCGTTTGCAATATCCCCCCACCCCGCCCCGAGGCACTTCACAAGAAATTGCTCTAAAGCGTAGTGACTGTATGCACCAACAAGAACACGGCTGAAGAACAGCACCTCCAAACTTGTAGCTCACGCACACACACACGCACTACTGCACTGGAACGTCAGCCGAGGCTGTGGTCTCAAAAGTCCTCGACATGGGGTCATTAATGCACAACCTTCTGAAACTCTGAAGCGAGCATGACACCAACCGAGAATAGGCTCCCGCAGCCAGCCAGGCTTAATAATAATAATAATGCTTGCATTTGATATAGCGCCTTATCACGTCTCAGACCCAGGTCCTCTCGCTTGCGAGGTAAGGCGAGTTCTCTAATCACTAAGCTACAGGACTCCACAAAACTAACGATGGGAGTTTTAATGTGGCAGATTCCTGTAGCATAGTGGTTCGCATGATTCCTGGCTGGGGCAAAACCTTAGGCAAGTTTCCTTAATCCACAAGCCTCCATTTACCTAGCAGTAAGTAGGATTCCGGTTGGTAGTCGATTGGCGGATCACTTTCCAGAGGTAATAATAATCCCTCCCCCCAAAAAATATCTTTTTAAAAATATGGTCATTCCATCCATGACTGTGTGACACTACTGCGCGCAGTCAATTCACTCTACAATATAGTCTGTGAAGCGGCGTGAGACATCTCAACGATGTGATGAGGCGCTACATCAAATGCAAGGATTATTACAATTATTATTATTAATGACGATGAGAGAGGGTAAGAGAAAAAGAAGAGAGCCGGTACCTTGGAACGTTGGGCGGTTGCTGGGATCCTCCTGCCAACACCTCATCATTAATTTGATCAGATTCTTGCAAGCTGGAGGCCTGGATTTAGGAATGATCGACAACTCCGGGCGAAGACCACTCACCACTTTCACCATAATGTGCAGGATGTTCGTTTCAGCTGAAGAACAGAAATAAGATTCACAGTGGAATAAAACTCTCTTGAGCCAAACTTTTCTCTACCGAGACTTAACACGAGTTTCGTAAAACTCGTGTAATTCTTATCTTTATAAATCGTGCCATTGCCCAAGTTGTACATTTTCGCCCGAGACCCATTTAGTTTCCTATCAAAACCATTTAGATTTCAATTGCATTACTCGTATTACAACAACAACAACAACAACAAGATTCCATTTATAGAGCGCCTTTCACGTCAGGAGGACGTCCCAAGGCGCTGCACAGTTGGGTCATGACCCATTACGCTTTGTGGAGTCCTGTAGTTCAGCGGTTAGAGCACTCGCCTCGCAAGCGAGACACCTGGGTACAATTCCAGGCAGGACGAAACCTTGGGCAAGTTTCCTTACTCCACATGTCTAATAATAATCCCTCCAAAAACAAAAACAATAATAAATTGGTCATTTTCAATCCACGACTGTTTGTGGGACGCTGTTGTGCACGATTGGCTGCCGCGTTCACCCACAAATATACGGTCAATTCACTTTACAGCATATTCTGTGAAGCGCTTTGAGAAGTCGGAAGACGTGAAAAGCGCTATATCAAATGCAAGGATTATTATTAATATTTCTAACTGGCAGCGCCTCTCCCTTACCCACCGTTACTCCCGTACCTACAGGCTGCATTGAATCGCGGGAAACATAGTCTTGATCTGCCGAAGACCTTCGTTTCCCGCGATTCAATGCAATTCCAACTCTTGCCGATCAGTGCGCGTGCGACGACGGGTCAAGACACGTTGAATTGCGGGAAGCGCAGTCTTGACCCGTCGCCGCACACGCAACAATGTGCTTTTTCACACAAAGGGTAATGAAACCACACATACCTGCGTAGGGTTTCTTCTGTGTTAGTGTCCCCCAAATGACCATGGAGAAGCTGCAACAGGAAGGAAATAATTAGATCTCCCGGAAGAAGAGCCCATCCACTCAGCCTGTCCTGCCAGTTTGTTTGGTCGTGACAGATCTTTTAATCCCAAATTCCCACCTTTTCAGCATATTTTCCTATAATAGCCTTACTTCCCAGGTGTCATACTCCCTTTTTTGTTGATCAGGGCTGCCCCATGCCCTCACCATCGGCGGTCAGGCCTTCAGCCTTTCTTACCCCCACCCTTTCGAACTCCATTCCACAGTACCTTCACCTCGACCCCTCCCTCGGCTCTTCCAAGGCCTGTCTCGAGACCTTCGCCTTCGACCGCGCTTTCAGCCACCCTCCTACCCCCATCCTAATCGTCCAGCGTGTTGGAATGTCTTCCCGACGTGAAAGGGGCTGTACAAATATAATTTGTTGTTTGCGTGCTGGGTCTCCACAGCACTCTTGGGCAGTGTGTTCCACATTTTCCACAAGGCTCTGAAGAATTCATCCTACTAAGTATCTGCACCCAACTTGCACACAGCACACAGCAATCTCCCACAACCAGCCACAAATTGAATGCCCGAATTGTCCATCGACCAGGAACATGGGTGAGAAGCTCTCTTTTATTTAACATCCACCTGAACAGGCCCCTGGATTTAACGTCTCACCCGAAGGACGGCACCTGCATCAATGCAGGGCACCACCAGCACTGTGTTCAAAGTCCTGGTATGGGGGCTTGAACCCACAAACCCGTGACTGAGAAAAGAGAGCGCTCAAACTGAGCCGGGGGTGGTGGAGGGGTGTCTTAACGCTAAGGTTATGAACACAAACAACAAATTTTCTGTGCAAACTATCAATCCACTTTAAGTTGCCGAGAGGGAAATGCAGGTCAAATCGCCTTGCCCAGTTAAGGGGTGCGTGTTTTCCTTAAAAGTAACTTAGAGGAAAAGCATCTGACCTGTACACGTCATGTTTGATGTCCGAATTTCTCTTCTGTCTTAAGCGCTCTGGAGGCAGGTAAGCGATTGTGCCGCAGAAGCCGTCCATACTGATGTCTTGTGTGTTGGCCAGCCCGTTCCACCTCGCCAACCCGAAGTCTGAGATCTGTGCAGTGGAATGACTGAAGATGAATGAACAGCAACCCACATTTGTACTAAGTGCCTACCCCCACCTCCGCAACATCGCCCGGTTCCGCCACTGTCTCACATCGCAGGCCGCTGAAACCCTCATACACGTATTCATAACATCCAGGCTTGACTATGCAAACTCCTTGCTAGTCGGCCTCCCCAACTACTCCCTCCATAGGCTGTAGTTCACCCAGAACTCTGCAGCCCATGTCCTCTCTCGCACCAGGCTCCGTGACCCTATCACCCCCCATTCTTACCCTACTCCACTGGCTTCCAATCACACAGAGGATACAGTTCAAGATCCTTGTCCTCACCTTCAAAGCCCTCCATGGCGCTGCTCTCCCCTACCTCTGGGACTTCCTAACCCCCCAGCATCCTGCCCGCTCCCTCCGCTCAGTGAGCTCGGGTCTGCTTCACATCCTCCGCCTCGCCCACCCCACCATTGGGGGTTGAACCTTCTGCCACTCTGTCCCCACCCTCTGGAACTCCATCCCACAGTCGCTTCCCCTCGTCCCCTCCCTTCAAGACCCATCTCAAGACCCTCCTCTTCGACCATGCTTTCGATTGCCCTGCATCCCCCCCTGTCCTCCACCCTCCCCAATCCCGATCCCCAGCTCGGGTCCAAAACACTGATTGTCCAGCACATTGGGATGTCCTCCCCACGTGAAAGGTGCTATACAAATGTCATTTTGTTGTTGTCAGGAAAGCTGCCACATTATTAATTGGGAAGTGGTATAGGTATATCAACCTGGTTGAGTTTGGTATCACTCTTGCATCTAAGTTAGAAGATTACCAGCTCAAGCTCCATGTGGAGACTTTGACCACAGAGTCCACTTGACATTTCCCAATACAGTGTTGGGGGACAGGCTCTATATTGTCGGAAGCGCCATTCCTCAGGTGAGATATTAAAACCAAGATCCCATCTGTATCTGTATGGGCGAACGTTAAGGGTCTGTGCTTATGGCCGTAAGCACAGAAGAAGAAGGTTTTCAGGCGGGACTTGAAAAAGGGACAGGGCGGAGGGATTAAGGGAGAGTGTTCCAAAGTTTCGGGGCGTCGTGGCTGAAAGCGTGACCTCCAATGGTGGAGCGGAGGGTGCAAGGGACAAGTAAGAGGCCGGTGGCAGTCGAGCGGAGGCTCCAGGTGGTGGATTCTGGAGGGAGTTCAAGTAGTAGGAGTTCATAGTCTGGACTTGGGGGCTTGAACCCACAGCCTTTGGACTCAGAGACGAGAGCACTCCCACCGGACCAGGCTGCCGCAGAGGTTCAGAGATAAAGAATGAAAGAGAGAGGTCCCCACGCACCTTAACGTGATGGTGTGCGTCCAGCAGGATATTGGCCGGCTTCAGGTCCAGGTGCAGTAGGGGTGGTGACATGCAGTGCAGGAAGTTCATGCCCACTGCTGTCTCGTGGATGATGCGGAAGCGCAGCTCCCAGGGCAACACCTCTGCCACCAGCAGCTTCTCCAGCGAGCCCGTCTCCATGTACTCCATGACCAGCCCCACCGGATCCCTGCAGATCCCGTACACCGGCAGGATGTAGCGGAACTTGGCCATCTCCATCTTCTTGGCTTCCTCGACGAGCTCCGAGAGCTCCCTGCGGGGCGAAAGGGAATAAGAATTATAATAATAAATAAAGGCCATCGATCTGAAACGCTAACTTACTTTGCTCTCTCCATAGATGCTGACCGACCTGCTGAGTGTCCCCAGCGACTTCTGTTTTTATTTAGAATAATAGTGCCTTGCCTGGTACTCTCACCCACCCCGTCTTCCAAACCCTTTGCACAGCCTCCTTAATAGGTTTTGTTTTAGAAAGAATCACTCAACTGCCACTCTGATGTGTCTCCCCATGATTACTCGTAATAATAATACTTACATTCGGTATAGCGCCTTATTAAGTCATTGAGAATATACTGTAAAGTGAAATGACTGTGTAGTTTGCGGGTGACACGTGGCAGCCAATTGCGCACAAAAAGCCGTGGATTGAGTAACACAATTTTTACTCTTTTTTGAGGGAATATCAACTCTGGAAAGTGATCTGCCAATTGACTAACAATCGGGCTCCTGCTTACTGCCAGCTAAACAGAGGCGTGTGGAGCAAGGAGACTTGCATAAGGTTTCGCCCCACCTGGGAATCAATCCCGGGTCCTCTCGCTTGCGAGGCGAGCGCTCTAACCAGTAATGCTACAGGACTCCACAATAGTAACAATCCTTACACTTGGTACAACGTCTTTCGTGTTCCAGAGGTCATCTCAATGTGCATCACATTGCCCACATATACAGCCGTGAAACTGAATGAAAATTTTGAACAGCGCCATCCGATACTTAATACAGTCTAATCTGTGAAGCGCTATGAGACGTCTACAAGACGTGAAAAGCGCTATGTCAAATGCAAGGATTATTATTATTATTATTTAACGTCTTCCTGAAGAGGCACACACGGGACCTCGTTTTAACGTCTCATCCGAAGGATGGTACCTCCGATAATTCAACCCCCTCCCAGCACTGCGCCGAGTGCCCAACGTAGACGATGAGTTCCAAGTCCTGATGCGGGGGCTTGAACCCACAACCTTCTGACTCAGAAGAGAGAGAGAAGTGCTTCCGACTGAGCCAGGTTGCCCTGCTGATCTTTCGAGAGAGGCGCTGTGTCGAATGCATTTGTTATAGCTCTTCATCATGTCAGACGGACGTGATTCACAGGAATTCATGTGAAATGGATTGACGCTGTAGTTGTCGGCACACGCGGCAGCACAATTGTGCGCAGTTATGAGAGTTACGGTCAGAGCACTGAACGGGGAGGGTGGGGAGTTTTGACTGTTTTTTTTTTTGTGGGTGCAACACGTCAGCCAGTTACGTACAGCCGTGCCCCACAAACAGCCATGAAACACACAAGCGATTTTATTTGGGGGATTGCCGGCCAGGAGACTGGGAGAGAGAAACTCGCTTCTCTTTTCGAATAGTGCCACGGGATCTTTAACATCCACCTGAACAGGCACGAATCAGTTTAACGTCTTATCTGAAGGAGGGCACCTCCGACAATGCAGCACGTCCCCCAGTACTACACCGGAGCGTCAGCTTAGCCTACGAGTTCAAGTCTCGACGTGGGATTTGAACCCCCAATCTTTATGACTCGGAGGCGAGCGCGCTACCACTGCTCCAGGCTGACATTTGGTGAGTCGACTGCGATGATTGAATGCTCAACCCCTGGGGCAAAGGGGCTAAGCTCACGTAGACGCACTCGATTGCAGATGGTGATAGATCATTTCCCCTGGCCGTGCAGTCAGTAACTGGCGGGCGCAACTTTAACGATAGCTTAATCAGAAGAGGAATTAAAGGGTTAAAAAAAAAATATCCTCGAGACCGAGAACATGGGATTGCTCTGTCACAAGCCGGCGTCCTAACTCACCTGGCTAGCCGGAGTGAGCCGGCTAGCAGGATGTCTTAAAAGGAAAGCAAGTGATTGGAATCCCGAATAGTTAGCAGATACGACACCTTGCATTTGATACAGCGCCATTCACGTTGAGAGGACATCTCAAAAGCGCTTTACTTTAAACTTTAGTGACTGTGTATTTTGTAGGTGAAGATGCATACGTCCTCTCACACACACACACACACACGCACACGCCCACACACCCACGTTCCCTCCCCGCCAAACACTGCACCAGGAGCATCAACCTGTACTGTGAGCTGACTGAGGTTTGGACTCGCGACACTGTGACTGTCGCTGGCCTGACACTGAGCCGGGCTGAAGAACACTGCATCTCGCCACAGTTTACTTAACACAGGATCCTCTTGGAGCCACGAACGAGGGCGATTAAACCTCTAAATGTAAAACTGGATTAAAGTTCACAGTAATTGCGGGAAACGGGAGAAAAAGAGCAGGGCAATCTAAGGTTCCATCGCGGTGAGTCAGGGCACGAATATTTTTGCCGTCGTAAAAAAAAAGAAGCCCTGGCTTTAAACTCGTTCTGCAACGCGGGCATGTACACAGCGTTCACGGGAAAGAATGCAGATTTTCTACAACAACAATAACTGTCAATTGTGTCAGCCTGGCTCAGTCGGTAGGACTCTCGCTTCCGAGTCAGAAGGTCGTGGTTGCTTGGAACTCACATTGTCCGAGCTGACCCTCTTTCCTTATCTTTCTTTCCTTTGTACCTTCTCTTTTATTTCTCATTTCTCCTTTTCATTTCGCTTTAATTCGCCCAGCGCGGTCCCACAGTGCAGTGGTTAGAGCGCTCGCCTTTGCAAGCGAGAGGAACCGGGTTCGATTCCCCGGGCGAGAGCGAAACCGGCAAGTTTCCTCACTCCACACTCCTCTGTTTACCTAGCAGTAAGTAGGAACACGGTTGCTATTTGATTGGTGCTATTTGAGGTAATAATCCCTCCAAGCAAAACAAACGAAAAATGCGGTCACTCAGTCCACGGCTGTTTGTGGGACGCTGCTGGGCGCCAATCGGCTCCCGCGTTTCACCCACTAAAATATACAGGCAATCCACTTTGCAACACATCATGTGAAGCGCTTCGAGACTTCTCAACGCGGTGATAAGCCGCGACAACAAATGCAAGGATTATTAATATTATTATTATAAGATAACATTGAAAAACCAAACAAAAAATATCCCGGGCGATGGGTTCAAACATCGGACGACACATCAGAGCGCAGATTGAGTGATTCCATCTAAAAAAAAACATTAAGCAGATTGTGCAGAGGGTTTTGAAGGCAGGGGGGAGACGGAGCAAAGTGGGCGAGTGTAGCAGGAAAGGTGGGAGGGGAAGGTGGGATGGGGGGGGGGTGTGGCGGGAGAAAAGGAGCAGTCGACCCCAGCTGGCGGGTACAATAGGCTGAGGCGATACCACAGAAAGAGAGAGGCGATATCCATCAGAGATGAAAACCACTGGATGAGACATTAAACAGAGATGCTGTGTAAATAGGTGAGAACCACAGCCTTACATCGACATTATACATTTGCATAGCGCCTTACACGTCAGACAAAAGTCTCGAGGTGCTGGACAGTCAAGGATTTGCACCCGACCTGGGGGATTGGGATCAGGAGGGGGGGGAGGGCGGTAGGATGGCGACCAAAAGCGCGGTCGAAGAGGAAGGTCTTGAGATGGACCTTGAAGGAGGCGAGGGAGGGAGGGAGTGAGGTGGAGGGTCTGTGAGATGGAGTTCCAAAGGGTGGGGGCAGAGACGCTGAAGGTCCCGATATGCCGATGGTGGGGAGGGTGGGAGACATAGAGCAGCATCGGAGCCTGCTGAGTGGAGGTGGCAGGACGGACAGGTCGGTATGGAGTTAACCGGTCACAGAAAGGTAAGAGAGGAGCGAGGCCGTGGAGGCCTTTGAAGGCGAGGACGTGGATTTTGAACTCTACCCTATGGCGGATGGGGGTGGGTGGGGGGGGGGTCAGTGGAGCGGGATGAGGGTGTGAGGGGTGATTACCAAACCCACTTCTGTCTTTCAGATCCTTGAGTGACGTGCCACTCTCCGTTCCATTTTAATTTCTGCAGCAAAACGGGAAAGGTACACACCCTTCCTGTTCAAAGAATTGTGTTTGTTTGTTTTTTTAAGTCAATCAAGTCACGTCCCAACTTCAGCCCAGTCGCTGAGCTAATTATATCCCACGGCTTTCTGATTGCAATCACCCGCAGCTAACAACAGTCAGGTATGTCTCAACCAGACAGCCGTTTGCACACTTTCCGTGCTTCTACAGTGTGCGTGCGTGTGTGTGTGTCTCCCTCTCTCTCGCTGTACGCATGTCTGTGTCACTCTTGGCCTCCCCTGTCACACATTTTGTATATGAACGTGCGTGGATCTATCTCCCTCTCTAAATCTGTGAGCGAATGCTGGCACCGGATTCTGACCCGCACGAAATCAGTACCCCCGTGTCCCGCCAGTCCTCGCCAGGCTCCACCGGCTCCCAATGACTGAACGGATCGATTTCGAGATCCTCTGACTCGTTTTCAAACCCCTTCATGTCGTGGCACTTCCCTACCTCACCGATCTGCTTACCCGCGCACCCCCCCCCACCCCATTCCAGCACCCACTGCCTCGGCACTCGGCTGGCTCCGGCATCCCATTTGTCCCTCGTCCCCTCCTCTCCACCTTCAGCCATTATGCCCCGAAACTCTGGAACTCTCTCCCTCAATCTCTTTGCATGCCCCCACCTTCCCCAACTTCAAATCCCACCTAAAGACCTTCCGTTTCGATCGTGCTTGCGGTCACCTCCCACCTCTCTCTCCCCCGACTCGGTGTCAGACCCTGCCACTGTCAAGCAATCCGTGACCCTAGCCCACGTGAAGGGCGCTATATAAATGCAAGTTGTTGTAGTGTGTGTGTGACTTTTTTTAACCCCTCTCAAGGAATATGTGTGTTTGTGTCACTTTTGGCCTCCTCTCAGTGTGTGTGTGTGTGTGTGTCTCACTCTCTCTGCTCCTGTATATATGTGTCTCTCTTTACCTCTCTCACTGTATTGTGTGTTTGTGTCTCTCTCAGCCTCTCTCAATGTATATGGGTGCCTTATGCGTGTGTGCGTGTGTGTGAGTGGATATGCTTGGGTGTATGTGTACGCAGTCTTTCATCCTGTGGGATTTTGTGC